GTGAGTCTTTGTACTTGACCAGCAGATGATTGTGTCTGAAAGCACCAAGCAGCAGCTGGAGGTGCCTCATCCCATTCATCCATCTCAGTTTGTGGCTGGAAGGTCTGGAGGTCATTACTGCTTCTCTCTGGTCTTACTTATACTCTGAGACAATGGCACCTCCCTATAGTTATTGGGGATCTTGATTTCATATGGTGTGTGTGTGTCTGTGTCTGTCTCTCTCTCTCTCTGTGTGTGTGTGTGTGTGTGTGTGTCTGTGTCTGTGTCTGTGTCTGTATATATTTATTTTTGTATGTATGTGTGTGTGTGTGTTTGTCTGTGTGTCTGTGTGTCTGAGTGGGTCTAGTCTATGTGCTCCTGAGTGTCCAGGCTCTGTGGCATGGTCTGAGGATATTACACAGTTTCCAGCAGATGGCACTGCTGAGGCCAGGGAAGTCCACTTTGAGCAGCATGCCTCTTGGGCACTGTGCTCATCTTGGTGGAACATTGAAATTCCCTGTGGAGTTTATAAAGCCATCCTGAAATTGGGAATCCTCCCTGCAAATTCTCATTGTGTGCTCTGGTAAACTGTGCAGCAATAGACACCAAGATATATGAATCCATGTTGTGAAGACAGAAGAAATGTCATCATGGGTTTCTGGTGGGCCCAGATATGAGGTACAGACACCTGGGAAGTTCTTAGAGAGGTAATCTATAGCTCTAGGCCACTGAGAGAGCTCATATATCCCTGGCACACCTCTTTGGACCAGCTGCACCTTCTGGCTTAAGGACAGGATGGGAAATTTAATAAGCACCAGGAGATCCCAATGAGTAAGTGCCAGGTTATGGCATCCAATGGGCTGGGGTATTCCATGACCTAGCCTCATTCATGTGATCCTTGTGGCCTGTGTTCATGAGGTTCTTTTCTCCTTGGGCCATGTCCAATTACAGGCTGAATTTTGAGCTTGAGATGCTCAAAATGGAGCATAAGCAGGTGATGTCTGACCTGCAGAAATTGCCCATTGAGATTAGTGATGCCTTGGACAAGTGCACAGGTCTGATTGAGGAGACTGAATCCTTCAGGTAAGAACCTGCTTTATCATGAGAGGAACTGTCTCTGCCATTCTTTGTCCTTGACCCAAAGTGAGGGCTCTGGTTCTAGCCTGTCTGCCTCTTAGCAAGCAGCCTGCCTTGTGGCCCTTGGACTTGTGCCTCTTGGACTCAGTTTTTCTAAGTGTGGAAGAACACTGAGGCCCTCCCATCATTGTCCTGCCAGCCTTGGGAGCGCTGAGACAGAAAACTGGTTTGCACCAAGAAGGGGATGTCTGGCAGCCCAGGTCCTCTGGGCACTGGCAGGGGCTTCCAGACCTGGTTTCCATGGGACCAGTAGACCGAATTTATTCCTGTTGGGACTTCTACCCTCCTTCCAAGAGTGTTTGCTCTGTACCTGCTGATGATTTCCCAATACAATGAACAATTAAGAAAAGGTGTGGACTGCACCCTGTTCTCAGAGGCACAGGTTCCCTTTTGGCATTAGGGTTTTCAGAAGTAGTTTGATTCTCTCTGGAATTTGGTTATTCTCTAGATTTGGCCTGCCTCTTAATGATGCTGACTTGGCTACTGAGAGCCCCATTCTTGGGCTGTCTTTGAGTCTGGGATTTTTCAAGGCTGGTGGTACTTGGAGGTAGGGATGGCAAATGAAGGCTCTTTGGGGCTCACAATATTTTGGTGGTTGTTCAGTTATATCAATGTCCAGGTCCTATGAGAGTGTACTCAGCTACAGAAGAATGTACATGTGTTGAGACTGAAGAACAGACTGCCATGAAAGGAGCAGACTGAACTGCAAGAGTCCTGTGAGGAGCTGAAGAGGCTCTTGAGGGAGGCTCATGAGATGGTCTGTGACCCTTCTGCTGAGCAGCAGCAGGTAGGCTGAGACAGCAGGGGCAGGTGCCCACCTGTCCAAGCATAAACATAGAGACACCCATATAACCATCCACCCATCCATACAGACTCCCACCTACATACCATCCAAGTGTTGATTTCTGTGATCATTCCCAAGTCTTTCTGGAGAGTTAGCCTCTTCCAAGAAACTGGATAATTGTCAAGCAAACCCTCCTGCTCTGCCAGAAGCTGCAGTACATTCAGAGAGCTGGGTCAGTCACATATCACACACCTACATGTCATTATGATCAGAGGGCTGCTATGCAGGGAGCTACTTTGGGAACAACACAAAGATTTCATTGATGATGTCAGTGGCCTGTGGCTCATTTGCTTTCCAAGGGTCATGTGAGATCACAGGTAGGAAGCAGCCTGCAAGGACTGGCGTCCAGCCCCAGTGCCAAGTGAGTGGTTTTCATTGTCAACATTTTGGGTGGCATGCGGTCTTCTCCTTCCTTCCTGTATCCCAATGAGTTCTCTTCCTTTTGCCAAGCTCTTGGTTCATATTGATAGATGCCTGAGTACTACCTTCTCAGTCCTTTTTTCTGGGCATGGGGCTGGACAGTCCTCTGGGAGCATCCTGGACTTTCCAGTCTGGAGCTGCCTGGATGACCATACATGTGGGAGGACTTTGACAGGGTGGGGGTTGGGGTGACAGATTGAAGCTGCAAGAAAACATTTACTCCAATCCCCTCAACATAGTCTGACTGAGCTGTGTGCTGCCCTAGGAAGTTTTAGGCCCCAAGAGATGGATTGCCATATTGTGGGTCCCAGTTGAAACACCTGATGTGCATAGACTAAATTCAACAGTTCATTCAGCATGATGTCCTCTTCATTGTTTCCTGCTCACTTCTGATTTCTGTGGTCTAGGTGTTGTCTATGCAGGCATGGGTAAATGTGTACATTGGTGGGTGTGTTCAGAGGCTACATAATGAAATCCCGTGTTGTCATCCGTTGCCCACTCTCTTATTCCCTGGAGCTCAGGCCTTTCTCTGAACCTGAAATTTTCTTTTTTGGCTAATCTGGCTGGCCACCACTCTTTGAATCTCCTGTCCTCCAAGGTAGACCTTGTGTCTTGTTTATTCTCATCCAATTTCTACAAGTTTCAATTGTTCAGAAAGAGGAAGGCTGTAGTAGCTTTCTATTTCTTCATTTACTTTTATTGTTTTGGTGTTAACGTATTTTCTAAAAAATAACAAAAATCAAACAATACAGATGTTTTTTAAAAAATAGTAGGCACAAAGCCAGAACCACAGGAAATGTCTGGTTTGTCTCATTGGCTTCACAACACAGAATCCCACAGTGCATCTTCTTGGTGACATTGTGTTGCTGACTACATCACGTGCATGGCTGTATCTTAGAACATTTCCCTCTCATACCTGTGTAGAATGCTGCATTCCTGAAAAGCAGTATAGGTCACTTCACTGGCCTCCTTCTGACTTAGATTGGGGCTGTTTTCATATCACATGCACTGCAACCTGTAATAAACTTCCTGGGTTTTGACCATGGATCACTTTCTTTCTCTTGAGCTAGGCAGGGTCTTCTGTGGAGGAGCCAGGGTAGGTTTAGTAAAGAGACTGTGATGGATCAACTTGGAACCCATGGGATAAGTGAGCCTTGGGATAGATAAAACTCATGAAAGTAAAAGTAAGTGCAGACCAGGGTAGCAGAGCCTGGCTGAGACTAAGTGTCTTGTAGACAGCAGGGACAACCCACTCCCTCCCCCTGCAGCAGAAGACTTTCTGAAAGACAGCCTTCTATCCCTGGCCATTCTGGGATCAGTGTGTTTGTGTGAGAGAGAGAGAGTGTGTGTGTGTGTGTGCGCGCGCGTGCTGTACATCTGTGTGTGTGAACCTATATATGTTTTTGTGTGTCTCTGTTTGTGTCTACTGCCTCTTGTGTGCATGATAGTGTCACTTTGTGTGTGTGTGTGTGTGTATGTGCTCATGTGTGGTTGTGTGTGTCCATGGTTCCTGTATGTATAGGTTTAAGTGCTTGTGTGTGTGTATGTCTGTAAGTATGGATGCTTATATGTGCAAGTATGTGTTTAGATGCATCAATATGTTCACTTTCTTGTGTGAAACATCTTTGATGATGATGGAGTCCAACTTTGTTGAAAAAGTACTGTGCACACTCACTTTGCATCCATCTAACATTGTATGCTGATGCCCATCTTTCCACATGTCCACCTTGCTCTCTAGGACAAAAGGACACAAAACTACTCTAAGTCAATGGTTTTCAGGTAATTGTAGAGGGAATAATATTTATCTACAA